AAAATCCTACAAGGTAGGCTTCAGCAGTATGTGGACCGAGAACTCCCAGAAGTACAATCTGGATTCCAAAGGGGCAGAGGAACTAGAGACCAAATTACTAACATGCACTAGATTATGGAGAAAGCCAGAGAGATACCATCAACCACAGTATCTTCCTGGGGCAGCTCTCCGAGCTGGGGATCAGTGGCCTCGCTTTGGCATGGCTCCGTTCCTTCTTGGGGGACCATCCCCAGAGAGTGCAGCTTGGCGAGATGACTTCCACCCTATGGATCCTCAATTGTGGGGTTCTGCAGGGGTCGATCATCTTGCCAATGCTATTTAATATCTATATGAGGCCGCTGGGTGAGGTCATCCAGAGTTTTGGGGCTTGGTGTCATCAGTACGCTGATGACACCCAGCTCTACCTCTCCTTTTCTCCAACTGCAGTGCATGCTGGTCCTTTGAGCGCTGCTTGGGGACCATTCTGGAGTGGATGAGGGCAAATGGACTGAGGTTGAATCCGGACAAGATGGAAATCTTGCGTGTGGGTGGCCCTGGTGTCAGTGGGTTGGAGAACTCCCTTTCCTTTGGGGAAGTGATTCTTCCCATGAAGAGTAAAGTTCGCAGCTTGGACATCTGTCTGGACCCGGATCTCACCATGGAAACTCAGGTGACATCTGCTCATTTCCATCTTCGGAGGATTACCCAGCTGTGTCCCTATCTAGACACAGGAGCACTCATGACTTTGATTCATGTACTGTACTCGTAATCTCAAGAATAGACTACTGCAGTGCTGTCTACATGGGGCTACCTTGAGGTTGATGCGGAGACTACAACTGGTTCAGTATACAGTGGCCAGATTAATAACTGGGGTGAAGAAATTTCAGCACATCTCCCCCTTTCTGGCCACCCTTCATTGGCTACCAGTTCATTTCCGCATCAACTTCAAGGTTATGATGATAACATTCAAAGCCCTGAAAAGTTTAGGACCTCGGTATTTAGCAGAATCCAGATCTGTCTATAATACCCCTTCTTCACAGGCAGGATGGTGGAGAGCCTTGACCCCGAAGGAGGCCTGGAAGGAAAGAACAAAAAGCCAGGCCTTCTTGGTGGTTGCCCCTCCCTCCCACCTGTGGAACAATCTGCCCATGGAGATACGCCTGGCACCCTCGTTGGATGGGTTTAAACGAGCACTGAAAACGTGAGTTGGACGGGTTTAAACGAGCACTGAAAACATGACTCTTCCCTGAGCATTAAGTTGCTGATATGTCTGCTTCCCTTTTATCATCCTTTTTGCCATCCTTTCATCATCCTTTCTACCATCTTTATAGCCATGTGTTTTAATTTATCCTACTAGTTATTGTATCTGTTGAATGTTTGTATTGTTTTATTCTTATTGTGTTTTAATATTGTGTTGTTGTCGCTAGCCACCCAGAGTGGCCTGGCTGCCAGATGGTCCGGGGTATAGATCTAATCAATCAATCAATCAATCAATCAATCAATCAATCAATCAATCACAGACACAATCAATCACAGACCCCCGGTCCTTGGGAGTATGGTCTTCCCTGGTGTCAAAAAGGTTGGTTACCATGTGGAATATCAATCTTCTGAAGGTCTGATTCTCCCCATATGAATGCCCAGATCTTGTGATTGCTGGGCAGTCTCTCAGCTCCACCTTCCATCCACACAGTGAGGGCTTAATAAAGGACCTTCCTAGTCGCTGCTCCAAGGCTGTAGAATTGCCTTCTCAGAGAGGCTGAGCTAACCCCTCCCCTAACACTTCTGCTGGCAAACAGCATAAATAAGAGAATGAATAATGTATAAAGGCAATCAGAGCTATCCAGAAGAGCCATTGAGCAGGGCTGATGGGAACTGCAATCCAATAGCTATTTGGTGAGATGCATGTTACTCAGCCCTGGTTAAACAAACCATGTAACTTCCACCTAGAGTTTATTTACTGTGACACATGAACCTGGCAGGGAACTAATTCTAAATCTTGCCTTTCTCCTCCAATAAACCAGACATTAATCTAGGGTGGTTGTTGTTCTGGTTTCCTATGGCTTGCTGGAAGGGAAACCAGTCATAGAGCTGGCTATCTGGAAGTTTTGCACATTACAATAAATAAACTGCTTTTGATCCATGGTTTGTTTAGTTGCTTCCAATTAAGTAAAAGCAATTAATTAGCATGGTGACTCACTCGAAACAAATTGGAGTTTGACTGCATTCCAATTTGTTGTAACATCCAAATCCAGCCGCTGTCTGATCATAAAGGAGTAGGAATTCTGCCACTCCACTGGAGGCAACTACAGAATCTCTTCTAAAGAAATACGTCTTCTCTGTCCAGAGCAGTTGCATGATAACTAAGCCACAATAGGGCATAGATGAGCAGAACAAATGAATGAAAGGCAATCATTTGCCAAAAGCCATTACAGTTGCTGGATTACAGCTACATTTGCATGAGGAATCAAGAGCAACAAACACAGCCACACAAGCCAAGATGTTTTGAGTTTTCATATATTTCCAGTTCTATTCAGAACGAAATTATTTTAGTAGAAGAAAAACTGCATTTTCCCATGTTAACAGAGAAGGAACTGATCTAAATTTGATGGAGGGTTTTTAGTTTACCCCTCTTTTAAAAAGAGAGAAGTTTCCAAGCGTGCATATCTTGACATTTCTCTCCTTCTTGATGCTGTTTCCCTTCCAGAGTAATCATTAACCTGCATATGAAAATGGTGGGATTCCTTTTACTCCAAGTCCAGTTATCTGTCAAAAACATAAATGGGATCATCATCAGCATGTCTTTGTTAATAAATTCAAAAGTATTGTTTTTCAAACCCAAATGTTTATCTGCATCCAGTCAGGGGGCCTCACTAGATGAGGCACTGATTCCATATCTAGAAGCACTGTTCTTAAAAGGAAAAAACCTGTCTGCTTAGCTTAACACGTGCTTCTGTAATCTGTGTTTTGCAAACTGTCTTGCTTTTGCTTTGCATTTGGTCTGCTGGGAGATAGCAGGGCTTTTGTTTACACATGTGATATCTCAGGCATGTAACACTTGAAGATCTGAAGTGCCTGGAAGATAATCATGTAAGCAAAAGGAACAACCTTTTTCCTTAACATGTGATCTGACCCTGAGATACTTATTTCTGAAAGTCTTGATCCTTTAAAAAAAAATTGAATGCAAGCAAGAACAAACCAGACAGAAATATCACTCAAAGTGAGCACTTAGAAAAGAAACACAGAACAATTACATTTCAAAAAAAGTATAAAATTATTGTATATATTTGGCACAATCAAACACCTTCCCAGTCTTCCAAAGGCAGTGAAACTGTCTAGTTACCTTGAATACGCCACCAGTCTGGGGCTGCTGAGACAACCTGGCCTCATCCATTCCTTGGCAAGCAGAAGTGACATACAATTCTGAGTAATCGTCTCCTCCAAAGGCACAGGACGTAGTAGTGTTGACAGGCAGTTTCACTGTCTGGAGCCGTTTTCCTGTTAAAACAAACACCAGTTGCCTTCTTAGGGTATTTGCCTGCCTCAAATACATTGTAACATTTGCAAAGTAGCCTTGCCAAGCACCCAGGTTAACTGGGCAATATTGGGAGTTGTAAACCAAAAAAAGTAACTATTCCTGGCTCTGATCTGCTCAAGATTGTCACTCGGCAGCACTAAAAGGTGATCTAAAGCTCATGCAATTGACCAGAGAGAATCTTGCTACAGTGGAGATAGCCTTAACCTCGAGTGCACAACGAGTCCTATCTGCCTTCTTCCTCTGCCTTCCATACTTCTTTGATCTCCCTGAGAGGCCTGTATTATTTCCAAGTGGGTTTTGTTGCAGGGCCTAGAGCTTGGCACTATAGCACTTTCTGTGCAGAGTTCATTTGCATGTCAGGGGTTCCCACAGAAGCCTTTAACTGACTTTAAAATGGGGGCAGGGGCATCCAGAGACAAAGCTACAGCGAGGAAGGAATTCACAAAGATTTCTTTGATGGGAAGTCATATACAGTGGTGCTCCACTTGCCGACGATAATCTGTTCCAGGAAAATTGCTGTTAAGCGAAATCGTTGTCAAGCGGGGAAAAACCCATTGGAATGCATTGAAAACCAGTTAATGCATTCCAATGGGGAAATACCTCATCGTCCAGCAAAGATAACCCATAGAGAACCGCCAATCAGCTGTTTAAAATTGCTGTCTTCCAAAGCTTCTGTCCGGAAAACAGCCATTTTGCAAAGGGAAGCCATTTTGCAGAGCCGGAAAAAAACCATTGTTTTGCAAACAAACGGTTCACAAAGCAGGCACATAATTGACGTAAAGAGAAAAAAAGCCATAGGAACCATCATTTTGCAATCGCTATAGCGATCACAAAAAACTTGTTGTCAAGCGATTTCGTTGTCAAGCGGGGTCGTCGTCAAGTGGGGCACCACTGTAGTCAGTTTTCAAGGATATGCCTTTTGCAATACCATGATGATACCAGTATTCATAAGCCTTGGTCCATCAGGGACAAACAAGCCCAGCTCTCCTCATTTGCCATAGGACTTTTGCTCTTCTGGACAAGCTCCAAGTTTTATCTATCCATTTGGGGCAAAGAGAAGTCTCTGTTCAAAGGTAACCGTAACTACTTGGGGCTCTAGAATTACAGTTATTGCTGTTTGCTTGTTGTTGTTGTTTCAAAGCAACTTTCCAAGCTCTGATCCTCTTTAGTACATGTGAAGCTACAGATTGCTTCCCCATCCACTGAAGCAGTTCCATCTACGCGAAATGCAAGGGGGAGGAGGAAAAAGGTGCTCCTCGCCACTGAAAAAAGATAGGGCAGCCTTTGCTGACAGAAAAGCTTCATATTTGCTCTGGATACCCATCCCCAAACATCTGGACTGGACTAAAACAATGTAACCCATGCATAAATATGTACATAGACAATGGCAATACTCACTTTCAGTAGTGAAATAATACAGCATGAAATAAAGTAAGATTTAAGGGGGAAAACCCCCTGATAAAGTGTAAGAACTGATTATCTTTCAAGTTCTTTAAGGAAGACTTTACTACTCCTTGACTCACTGCTTACCTGTCTCTGGATCTATACGGATCACTCTTCCTCCATCATAGCAAGCCACCCAGAGCTTCCCTTCTCTATCAATGCACATCCCATCAGGAATGCTCTCTTCCTTTTCCATCTTGTACATATGCCTGCGATTGGCTGCAGGAAGGAGCAAACACACATTATGGATTAAATCACACATTCCCTGCTTTGCAAAGTAATCCATTCTCTGAGTCACGTTCTTGCCAGGAGCTAAGAAGAAACGCAAAGCAGTTAATCCAAGAAGCTGACACAGGCTGATCAAACCAGAGGAGAGGGGTGGCTCTCAACCTGAAGTCTTCAAAGCAGATTTAGTCCAATAAAGCAGGCACAGATTGTGTAAAGCATAAAGAAGTAGTGGCTTTATTGGGTTCATGAGCCTGGTGAACACAGTGCTGTCCTACAACACTAAAGTTCTTCTGGCATTAAATTGGAAGACTGGAATATTGGCAGTTTCCTGGCAAAATTCCGCAATACTGTGGAACTGGGCTCTATTCAATGCAGAGGAAATGATCCTTTCTCAATGCCTGTCAGCTGCAACTTCATTTTTGGTACTTGTAGGATTGCTCCATTTTGGTTCGTTTCCAGGACATGCAATTGCTGGGACAGAAACAAAGCAAGCTTCTGCTTTAATTTCCCAGCTGGTTTCAATATCTCCAAATCATTAGTGGGCTAAACAGACATTTTAACCACTTAATAATATGGGGGAAATAGAAAATTAAATAGGGAAATTAAAAACTTCCCCCCTCTGATCTTAATGGAGCGGGGAGAGGAAGCTAAAAAACATATTTTAAAACCAATTAGAGCAGTGCTAATGAGTTGCATCACTTAAAGATTTTTTTTCAAAGCAAGAGGAAGCAAGAATAAAGATTGGAAACAATTTTACAGGCTAATTTGATGGCTGAAAATTAACATCTTTCAGGCAAAATTCTGTTTAATTTTGGACTATATGACAAGTAGAGACTGCATCAATTACACAATTTTTTTAAAAAAATTGAATTCTTCCTCCCAGAAGAAAAATGAGACAGAGGGGTGCAAGGACAGAGTCCCATCCCCCTTTTCTTGCAGGAATCAGAGCAAATATGGTTGCTTGAGGTACTATGGTATTTGGATGCAAAGACCACTCCGAATGGCATACCAGACCTCTACCTGACCTTAAGTGACCCTATTTAGCCCACTCCAATTCAGCATGTGTAGACAAGCCCTAAATGAATAGGCTGGCTTTGTCTCAGGGGTGACAGCATTTTATATCTGAATTATTTATTCATTTGACATGTACACAGCTATATGTCAGAAAAGGCATCTGTATGTATCTAGGCAGAAGCTAACAGAATTCAGGCGGGCAAATGTTCTAAATTATAAAATGGAAGTCTTGAAGAGTTACGAATATATTGTGTGTGTATTCTGTGCTGTCAAGTCAGAACTGACCTACAGTGCCCCTAATTGTGTTTTCAAGGTAAATGAGCTAAAATTCAGGGAGTGGTTTTACCAGTTCTACTCCCTCAGTGAGTTTCTGTGGCCAAGTAAGGATTTGAACCATGCACTCCAAAGTCCTAGTCCATCACTCTATCCATTACACCACACTTGGAATCCAGTACATCTGATGTTACGGAGGATGCTTTGTCCCACACAGCCCTTCATGCTGGCTGCAAATACCAGCTTACGATACCGTTATTTATCACATGTACACATGAAATCTGTTTTTATGTTCAACTTGTAAGATAAATTGAAATATTTTGTAGGAAGATAATGGCAGCATAGAAAAACATAAAAACATGCTTCTTGATCAACAAAAAATCAGTTTCAAATGAACTCCAGCTGATATTCATTTACACATCTCCACCATAAACAGTACAGTATTTAAATTCAGATCTACTTCATATTGAGATTGATTTCCTTCTGCTTTTCCACCACAGCTTGGAAACAAGTCCCATTCCTAGTGGCTATGCTGGCTGAGGGATTCTGTAAGAAATGGCAGGAGGTGGTTTTCCCAAGCTCTGCTTTTTTTTTCTTGCATAGCTAGGACTGCAGCTTTAAAGGCACTTACTACTGAGTACATTATAACTGAGAAAACAGAGAACTGTGCTGTAAACTTTTGCTGTATATGCAATGGGGTGGCAACCTGCAGTCCCCTGAAGACTGCACAGCCAGTGGTGAAGAATGCTAGGAGCTGCAAGCCTGGATCACGGGGAAGACTGACTCTGACGTATCCTGATCTACAGGCACTCCTCACTTAATGACCAAGTTTTGTCCTTACAACTAGGTCATTAAGCAAACTGACTGATAAATGAGGAGTAACAATATTGCATAAGGGAGGAATAAATCACGTGCTGTTGAGAAGGGGCATGGCAAAGACTCAAGCATGGATTTACGAGGGTTACAAAGGGTCATAAATCTGAGTGGCTGTTAAACAGGTAGGTTGTTAAGTGAGGGGCGCCTGTATAATGTAATAATGTTGAGATTGTCCACATAAACAAGTTCCCCCCTTCATCAGTAGCTGCTCTTCAGCAAAACTCTAGATTTCAGTACCTAGAAGCTCTTACAGTTAGCAAAGCCAACCATTTACCTGTAGGCCAGCCTATTAAAATGCCATGCATGTGTGGCCTTTTAAAAATACTGTACAAACCTCTGCTACATTGTATGTCTGTCCCTCCACTCCCTGCTACATGGAAGATGAAGTCAAACAGAGGTATCTTAGAATCACAGTATAACTGAGTTGGAAAGGGCCTATAAGACCACTGAGCCGTCCAACCTCTGCCAGTGCAGGAATCCAAATCAAAGTAGATCTTGAGGTTGCACAACATGAAAAAGAAGACATACCAAGTTTTCCAGTTTGAAGGTCATAGTCAAATGCATCCACAGAGTAGGAGAGGCTATCGATGTAAAAGAACGTTCTGTGATCCAGCGACCAGTCCAAACCGTTGGAGATGTCCACCTTATCAAAGTGCTTCACCACCGAGTGATCAGGGAGGAGAGTGTAAAGAGAACCCTGCTGTCTCTCTAGCACTGCAGGTCGAATCTCCTCCGCCATTGTACCTGTAAGAACCACATGATGTCAATTCTTTATATGAAAAGACAGGTTTCTCCATGCGTGGCATGCCGAGTTGGAAGGGTTTTCAGAACCCACTGGTAATTGCACTCCAACACCAGGCAGCCCGAGCAGACAACGGAAGTGGAAAGCAGGGACAGTCCAACTGAAAGACCAGCTGTTTTTTTCCTCTGCCCTCCCCTTGTTCTCTTTTGTGTGTGTGTGTGTGTTGTAGCTGTTAAGATTGTAAGCCTATGGCTGGCGACTGTCTTTTGCTGACTATATGCAAGCTACTCCCCAAACATTTTTTTTCTAAAGAGAATAATGCTATAGGCTAATATAAGTATTCTACAACACATCTTAAAAAGGCAAAAGTCAAGTAAGTGGCTTTAGGACTCAAAGCCTCTCAATATTTAGTTTCTAATTATTTAAGAAAAGGACTCAAAAATACGACTTGTGGCCCACATACCTGCAAACAGTCTTCCTGCAGGATCCACTTTACCATCATTGAATCGGTTGTTGGGTTTATCCTTGTCAATATGGGTAATAGTGGTTACAGACTTCTTACTCCAGTTTAATGTAGCAAACTGGGTTCCCAGGGTTATAATGTAATCGCCAGATTTACGAAGCGATATCGAACTCACCGGAGCATCTGGAGCCCAGAGTGAGAGGAGGAAGAGGTAGAATGCCAACAACATATTAGCACACATAAAATACTATATAAAATCAAAATTAGCACACCATGGGAGTTATATTCCAAAAAGAAAGAATTAAACCAAGCTTTGAACAGGTAATGGGTACTTTGCATATATACAATCACACATACTGTACATGTTTTAGGTACATGATGTATATAGAGAAGTGCTTTCAGCAGGGAAAAATGCCTTTGCAAAATACATAAAAGAGGGGAAAAGATGGTATAGGTATGGCTTTGTCTAGAGAGATGAAGAAAAACATACCATATTCCTAAAGATACATGGCACTCCTTTCACTTTCCAAATATTTAAGATTGCTCAAAAATAAGTATTTTCGTATGACTGCAAAAGCGACACACACAGAGAAAACAAACAACACTATGCTTTTTACAAGCTGCTACTCACCAACGGAAACCCTCTCCACTTCCTTAGTAAGGGAATTCCAGCGATAGACCTTTTTGCCACTGATATCCACAAAGAGGAGTGAATGGTCCTTTTCCTCCCATAGTGGCGACTCTCCAATCTTGCAACGTTCTTGCACAATACACTCTATTTTTACTGATGACATGGCCTGTGAAGAAGAGAAGCAGCCAGCAATTGAAATGGAAAGTCAAAAAATTAACCTTGCAGCCTATTTATTTATAAATTTTCAAAGGTTAGAAATCGCTGAGCTACAAATAACTATCAGTCCTTTCACCCAATAAGATACTACCTGACATGATGAGATTGTAACATAAAGGATGACTTAATTGCTTTTCTAGTATAACATCAACTTTTAAAGTTATTTGTATGATTATGTGGTTTATGGCTTAACTAAGTGGTGGTAGAGGAGTGCTGGCTGATGAGATGATGATAACGAGGCAGATGGAACAAGAGAAGCCTCTAAGTCCAGAGGCTTCTGCATGACTTTTTAAGTTTTTCACTAAATTGTGAAAATAGGAAGTAAAGAGTTACTTTTAAAATTGAATTATAATAGTACCTAATTATTCTTATGTCCCAGAACTATAAATTAACTAGCTCTTTTTTAAAAAGCAATTTTCTAAACTCTATTTCCTTTGTATCACATTTCTTCTACTCAGCATGGTGAATATGCCTCTACTCCCACTCATCCTCTTTTTATATTCACAATAAAACTTATGTAGGCTCAGCTGAAAGACAGAAACTGACCCCAGATAAAATATGTAGTATGTTTCATGGCTGAGTAGATATTTGAACACAGGTCTCTCTCGTCTGAATCCAAAACTGAGTCACTATAGCAAGAGATGGTAGACTTCAAGCTTGTGAAATTAACTTTGTTTTTTTCTAAACTTCTGAGATCCTCAAATTGAAGCCAGAAGCAAATGACACTAGCCCAGAATTCAGGATTTCTCACTCTGATAATTTGTTGCACCAGAGGTGAACATAACGAATACTCCTCGCAGATTTAAAAAACGAAAACAAACAAAAAAAAGTTGTTCTTGGTTCCCCTAGCTTTCTTCACTTCAGCAACATGATTCTGAATGGAAGGGAAGTCAACTGGGAGTCAGAAATGCTTAACAATCTTTTGCAGTATCCCAGCAATCCATCTCCTCATAGATTTAGATCTGTTTCTGCTTATCTCTTAGTGTTCCACACAGACTTTTTAAAAACACACCCACTTAGTAGCAAATCTCATGGATTTCAGTGGGACGTGCATGCTCATAATGTGCCACAAGCAGACAACAATGGATTTAGATCAGTGCAAAGGCGGCTCGCTTCAGGGTTGAAATGTGCACTGCTTCAACAACAGCAGCAACAAAACAATAACATCAAAGGAAATTAAACAAATAATGGCCCACAGATATGACTTTGTAGGAAAGCTTAAATACAGTGCAAACATTATATATAAATGTGGCTAAAACTAGGGGGGGTTGCCCCTCCTCCAGAGGACAAAATTCCTTCCATTCTCCCGCAATGCATAAGGAACTTGGGGGGGGTTCGGGAGAGTTCCTGGTTTGCAGGCCGCTCTCTGCCCACTTCTGCATAGCACTGCCAAATATAATCACCACAGTAGCAAATTCAAGCAGTCTACAAGAACAACACCCAAGTCCAAAGTTGGCCGTTGAGAAATAAGAGCAAAAATTCCAGTACAGTCAGATATCCTTGAGATCCCCAGAAGTTTTCTTCTACGCTTGACTTGACTCTGGCTGGATGGTTCCTCAGGAGCTTTTACTTTTGATACAGCACAGATTAAAACCAGAACCATCCTTCAATTATCCATTAAAAAGCCACAATGTTTTGGGGGGAAGACGGAAGGGGGGAAGGGGGGGAAGATGGGCACAGTTAATAAGCAGTGGCCACTATCAGATCAGCCAATACTACCAGATGGGTGGATAACCCTTCCGTTCCCCTGCAAAGATGCCGGTCCAGGCTACACAACTCAGAAAAGTTTTCCGTGACCACCAGCTTCTACCTTCTTGCTTTCCCGGCCTTGCAGACCAACAGAGCGACGCGCCCCAAATGTCTCCCACCTTCGACCGGCTGGTCTCGCTAACCTTTAAGGCCAGCCCTCACCCCCTCTGCGGTCAAACATTACCAAATGGCTGCTGAAGGCGGTGTTTTCCAGCAGCAACGGCCCCT